TCTTTGGAGCCTAGGGCATCATGTTGGTGCCCCTGCTGCTGCTGCCTCAAATGGGGGGATTAACCTGCCCCCTTCCCCTCAGGCTACTGGTGTCTGGCCACCATGGCCCTGGGTGCACAAGTGGAACCTATCAATGCCCGTGCTGTCCCCCCTGCAATGGGGGGATTAAACCCTCGCTTCTGCTCAGGCTACCAGGATATGGCCCTGCCCCTGCTGCTGCTGCTGGAGCAGCAAGGCGGGTGGAGGGCTGGGGATGCCTGGCAAGGGCTGCTGCTTCCCTGCCAGGCAGACCCAGCAGCACTCCAGAGCAGGGTTTCACACCCCCACCCCTTTCTCAGCCAGCCAGAGCAGAGAGAGTGCTCCAGCTAAGGAGGAGAGGAGCAGGGTCAGCCCTGTTTGGCTGGAACAAACAGCTCAACCCAGCCCAGCCCAGCACAGGGCTGCAGAGGTTGCTGGGATACTGGAGGACTGTGATTTAACTTAAACCAGAAAGGGTTCTGGGACACAAGTTCCATATATTTGACCTCAGTTGGTTAAGTCTGGTACTACATTCAAACAGCTTTATCTTAAACTGGTTTTGGACACTTTGAAACTGGTTTACGTGCACTGAACTTATGTTCTGTTACAGGTTTAAATCAGTTTCTGATCACTTAAACCAGTTTATGTGTAACTTCTATCCCTAGCCCTTATGATCTGTCTGTTAGTCAGTTTCCTGCAGTTTTTGCTAAGGGCAAGATTTGAGCTTGCCCTTGTTCAGCCAGATTTGAGCTTGACCCTGTTCAGGACAAGCATTGGGCAGTTAGTGATTTTCAGGGAGATCCTTGCTGAGCCAGACAACCTAATCTTACCACATAGAAGCAGCTCTCAAAAAAGGGTACTCAGCATATTGTTAAAACTGGGCTGCAGGGAAAAACTCCCCTGGAGCCCAATCTGTCTGTCTTTTACTTGAATGTTTAAAGCAGTGTGGCTGCAAACTTTCAGTTAAGGACATAGCAGACGAGATTATGCTGTGGAGTGAATTTCCATAGTTGCATACATCCCAGTGGAGCTCTGCTGATTTGCATTAGGTGAGGGACTGGCTTAGTTCTGAGTGTGACCCACCAATGTACCATTTGTGAAGTGACTTCAGAACACCCACAGTAAGATATGCATATGGGTGCAGACACATTACGTGATTATTATGGAGTAGTATACCCCAGATTTTGCTCCATAGTAAGGAGTGAACACATAGGTATCACTTCCAAGCAGGCTGCCTGCAGTAAGTGCTATTACAGGGCCTGGTCAGTAGGTGGCAGGGGAGCTACTTTGCATTGAGCAAATGGCTAGCCTGGAATTAAAATAACTAAGGGGCAGACTGATGTCCAGTGCATCAGTATAACTTACAGCAGCAAAAAGAGGCTCCTCATTTTCTTTAGGGCTAATTTACACCAAAGTGGAGTAACTTAGTAACTTACTCCAATATAATGCTGTGTAGTATGTCCACTCCACTTTTCCATCAAGTAAAAATTCAATACACTCTGTAGTAAATGTGTCTGGTCTCTGCGCCCTATCTAAGATCCATTGCATTGATTTTAAGTTTTGCTCTTCATTAACAAATTCTTTCAGGGCCCACAGTTTCAAATGGCCTGACTGGCGGTTATATCCCTTCGTTTCTGAAAAAGGAAGTAGGCTCTGCTGGGCAGAGGGTTCAGTTAGCTCCACTTACGGATCCACCCTCAAGTAAGTGAAGAATTAGTTGTCTTGACTTCTGCTCGTTTGTGCAATAATGCTATCCTCTTGAAGAAATGTGTCTAGAGCTCTAGGCTCTTATCTTGCAGCTGCTATTCATGAATAGGGAAATCAGAATAGGTTCAGGATAACATAGTTATACACCTATAGATACAAATCCTTACACTCATTGATTAAACAGAAGTAAGCATAATTTGTACTCCGTAGCACTTCTGCCCCCAAATGCTCAACCATTACTTCCCACCATGGTGGGACTTTCAGGAGTATAGTTCCAAAATTCTTATCCCAATTCACTCCAGAAAATGCATGAATATTCTTAGTCTTCAGCCTGTGTGAGGACAAAGTGAACACTGAGAACGACACCAGTGTAAAATTGCAGCAGGTACAACATACACCCTCCACCTGTAAGTTGTTTTACTCCAGTGTAAGGGAATAAAAATCTGTCATAAGTATGTACCAGCATAGGGTGCACTACTTTGCATGTCCTCTCTCCACAGCTCTATTTACTGTATTTACTAGAATCCAAGATGACACCCCCCCTCCCCCAGTAATCAGATTCTATGCATGGAAAATGTTGTTATAAATTTGTTATAACTTTTCCATGTATAGAATCTAAATATTGGTGGGTTATCTTTGAATTCATCTCCCTCACCCCTATGGCCAGGAGGCAAGTAGCCTGCCCTTTGGTGCCTGCCCCCTCCCCCTGCCTCCCCCAGTGCTTTCACCTCCTGTTGCCTACACCCCTGCCATTTGCTCCCCCCCACCTGCCCCAGTCTCTGCCCCCTCTGTTATTTATTATCCATCATAGCTCTGGCCCCATACCAGCACGGAGCACAGGGTAATTCTAGTTCTGGCCTGGCCATGAAGCAGTGGTTGCAGCAGCGGCAGCTCTGGCATCCCAGGAAAAAATGCAGGGGAAAAACCTATCCTGAATTTGAGTAAATACAGTAATTTGAACTAACCATTCCTTGGGGTAGCTGCTTGCACAATGTGTAAACATGCCACGGGAGGCACAATCTCCTTGCCTGTTCCCTCCTTCATGTACTGCACCTGGCAGCATGAAGGGTCTGGAAAGTGAGTCTGGTATTCCCTGACAGGATGAAGGATACAGCAAGCAAAAAACAGGGTGGCCCCTCAATGCTACCCTTAGGCGTAACATGGGAATAATGCATCTGGGATGGATCTTTCACCTTTCTCCGTGAGGTGGCACCAAGCAGCAGGCATGGACAGTGCATGTCATGGAGTGAAGAGCACTCTAGGAATTGTAGTTCTCTAAGGCGACAGTGAAATTTGCTGCTGCTGTCACTCTTTTTTTCCTGTTGAAGCCCGTCTCAGGAGGACAAAAGAATTGGTGATTTGGCTGAAAAAAATGGGATCAGTTCTTTTCCAGCAGCCAAGAACAGTGCCATTCTTCAAAACCTGATTTTTTTTTTTTCAGAATGTCTTACACCTCGTGACACTGGAGTGTGCAACCCAGAAGTGCAAGTCAAGCAGGTGCCCTTCTCTTTAGGCAACACCCAGGGGGAGTGAGCAGGGCATGAACCCCCATGTTACACTACCTGGTGCTACCCCGATCTCCAGTTCCTGTCAGAGAGGCTGCATTAAGGAATGCTGAGGCCAGGTTTAGCATAGGATTGACCTCAGAATTGGGGAGCTGCAAACAGGTTCCTCTGGACCCAGCTTCTTGCTGCATCCAGCAGATACTGGTCATAGTAGGGGACCAGAGGCAGGTGTGGATCTTGAGCTTGACTTCCTGTTGTTTCACTCTTTCTTTTTTGTGTTTTAGAAAAACTGTGAAATATCTCTAAGGTTTCTTCTTCTAACAGTGAGCATCCAGACCCTGTGCTCAGGGCTTCCTGCATCTGGGCTGAGCTACTCCTTGAATTTTTATTGCCTGCCTTTCTCTTTTTCACCCTTGTAGATTACGCTGGCCTAAAGACTGTCAGATCTCATATTGGGCGACCATCGTACAGTACACCTTCAAAAAGCACCCCAGGGCTAATGCCACTCCCCCCGTCAGCTCAACCAATCCATGGGCGGATTGACTGGTCTTCAAAGTATGGAGCTCACCGGTGACTTGCAGAAAGCACTTTCTGTTGCATTAACATGCACTTCTTCTGAAATGGTGACTAGTGTTAGACAATTTGCCATGACTGAAGATCTCTTATCTTCTATGAGCAAGACATTTCAAGACTTTTTTTTATTAATTAATTTCAATGCAATCTTGTACCTTTTTGTATAAAAATGTTTTATTATGTGATTTAGGTCCAATTATTTTCTTAAATTCTATACATTTTGTATATGTGGCTTGGGGTTTGGGGGCATTTTATACAGTAAGCTTTTTAACGAACTTTTTTAAAATTGAAATTTTTCCTTTAGCAGGTCCAAACATTTTATACAAGCAAATAATTTTAGCAACCTGGTGCAGTATTGTGACAAACGTGCAGTGGCAAGAAGGGGGCATTCACTGAATCTTGTGTTGTGAACATGTTTAAGCTCTGAATGTTGTGTATTAGACAAAGGGTCAGTGAAGCTTCATTATCTCAACCTTGTTATAGACCCATCCTGTAGCATCTAGATACTAGTGTTTTCCTCTCACTTGCTTTGCGCTGACATCAGATCAGTGACCAAGGGCCTAACCTTGTTCTATTTTGAAGGCAAAGGGTCCTAGATAAGTAGAAAGTTTAATTATATTGTAGCTTTCTCAGGCTTTTGTTCACACACTTTTCTCTGGACTCTGTGCTTCTCAGCCTTTTTGTCTCAGTTTTGTAGTTCTTGGTCCAATCCTGCAGTGGGCAAAATCCCCACTGGCTGCAATGGGCATTTGGTCTGAGGGAAAACAGCTTCTACTGTTCTCCCTCACATTAGGCTTGTGTTTGGGATTTGATTTACCAGATGATTTTTGGCAGCTAGAATCGTATAGTTCACCAAAGAGTTTTCTGCAGGCTTAACTTTTTTGGTGTCTGCTTCACTCTCCTGAATATGCAGCTTCAAACATAATTTTTGTCATCTTTCACAAGGAAAATGTGTATAGGCCTGTTCCTGTTAATGGCAGCTACAAAATTATTAAGGGCTTCCAAGGAGCAACTTACAGAATATATAGTATCTCAAGAAATATTTAAGACAATATTGAATATGACAAAGCTGATTCATAGACCAGACTAGTACTGTATTAGTGATGTACCAGCAGCAAAGTTTAAGAAAAAATATATGCAGCTGACTGAATTGTTATGCCTTTGTTTTCCAACTTAATTCTCAACATGTTTCCAGTTTTCGTTGACAAATAAAACTTCAGCCTGCGGTTAAAATGCAGAATTATTCTCCCCTGCCTCATTTTAGATATATACCAATGTCCATAGATAAGGACCTAATAGCTATTTTTATAGTAAATGTTTAGGGCCAAATCCTTGACAAAACTTCAGTTATCTCTGGGACTAGGAGTTTGGCTCTGGGAAGAGAAGAAAGTAACATGATAGGAAAATTAGAAGAAAAATCAAAAGTTAATCGACAAAGAGAAGCAGCTAGCAGGTGCGGGTATAAAACGGAGGGGGGGATCATCCATTCAATTGTAAACTTTTGGCTTAAACCCCCCCCCCCCATGTG